GTGTTTTCTGAGACAAATGTGTGTGTGTGTGTGTGTGTGTCTTCTTTTTCTGAGACAAATGTGTGTGTGTGTGTGTGTGTGTCTTCTTTTTCTGAGACAAATGTGTGTGTGTGTGTGTGTGTGTCTTCTTTTTCTGAGACAAAAAAAAGCCCTGGCTGGCCTCAAAATTGTGGCAGTCCTCGTGCCTCAGCCTCCTAGGCACTGGGATTGCAAGTGTGCACCACCATGTCTGGCTTCCCATCCCCTCTCTTTGCAGATGCAAATGGCACTTTAGTCTTCCAGCAGTGCCATGAAGGTGCTTCCTCGAGTTTAGAGACAAGCCTTCTTCAAAAGATGGCAAGGCTTCTTGTAAGAGTACTCCCTCATGGGGTCAATCTCAACTATAAAAACATGTTCTCGCTCACATTTTCCCTCACTTTAGAGAAGGGCACTTATTTCAAGGACAATTTTTCTCCATAAGAAGCTTAGCTTTGCCTCTCAGAGATAGAATGTTCTCTATAGTCTAGACAGAAAGGAACATCCCCTGCCTATCAAAATAGGGCCTATGCAAGCCCTTAAAAAACTCACTAGCAGAAGGACCCACACCAGAAACAGGGTAAAAATGAGTGTCATTTCAGTGAGGTGTATAGTCCTGGAGGGACTCTGTGGTCCAACAATGGTCTGCTCCCTCAGAGAAGCCCATGTCCCAGGCCAGAGAGTCTCACTACAGAACCACCTCTCATGCTAGGCCAGTTTTCCTCTTGTACAGATGTATTTCTTTCAAGAAAGGTGCACAATGAGTACCTAGAAACCAATTTTCACCTTATATTTTGACTCTGAAGTAACATGCCCTTCATACTGAAAGATTTCCTCACCTACAACAAACTATTTTCCCTTCAGAGACAAACATTCTATTCCCACTCTCCCAAATAAGACTCCCATGTGAGACAAGCATCGTTCTTGGGGTGTGAATGAGGATTTCTTTCACATGAGGAGAAGTAGTTCTCCCTGCACAGAAAGATTTCCTTCCCACTCCCTCTCCCCCAAGAAGCTGGTGGTAGAGGGCTGACCAATTCCCCTGGACACATCTGGGATATGGAGCCAGACATGCCAGAGCCTGGGATACCTGGAGCTCAAAGTGTACCAGCATAAACTGTTCTACATTGGTCCTCAAGAGCTACTCACCCTCAGAATGATGAGACAGCGTGAGGAGGCTGACACAGGATGCACCAATGCCCGAGCCAAAGACAGTGATTCGACGAGGATCTCCTCCAAAGAAGGCAATATTCTCACTCACCCAGCGGAGGGCCTGGATTTGGTCAAGGAGCCCATAGTTGCCCTTGGCAGCCTGATCCCCAGTGCTCAGGAAACCTAGATTTAACAAAAGGCATGAGGATAATGAAGGTGAAAGGATGCAGGATTTGGGTTATGATGGTACGAATGAATTTGGGAAGGTGTCACATGGAGGATAAACATGCAGCCATGTAGCACTTCCCATCTCACTAATGCTAACATAAACCACTGCTTTTTGCAAGGCCCAGCAGCACCAATATAGGCAGAGTAAACCCCTGCTTCCCACCCATGATCCAATTTGGAAGGAGGGGACAGAGCATTTGAAGTGGTTGTTTCCTCTAGGTGGAAGGGCTTGCAAATGGCCAGAATTCAGCATTGTCTGCCCTGATGTAGAATTTGGGGATGTGATCCTAACATCAGACAAGATGCAGTGAGGACAGCAAGGACCCTGGAGCCAAACAGCCCTTGGTTAAATCCAGCATCTTAGACATGTGGCCTTCAGCAAGTTATTTAAAATCTCTGGGCTGTAGTTTCCTCTTCTGTAAAATGGGGATAAAAATACCTCAAAGGGTTGTAACGAGGATAAAATGAGCATAAGGCAAGCACATGGTAGATCTACAGTTACATTTCCCCTTTCGTTCTCTCTCTGAAGTGAAGAGCCCACAGGCAGCAAGACCCTGAGCTTGCCTTGCCCTTCCTGTGCCAATCTGTCCATCTCCAATTTTTTCTAGGGCTTTGGTATGGCCCCCTTCTCATCATTCTCAGGGCAGGTCCTCATTTCCCTTCCTCCAACACCTAAGCAATCAAAAACTCTAGGGGATGCAGCCCAGCAATCTGTGTTGTTAACAAGCTCTCCAGGTGATACTGATGCCTGCTAAAGTTGAGAAGCCACTGGGTCAGATCATCTTTTTCATCTGGTGGAGAAATGAGGAAGTCAGTGCACTGCGTTACCACAGAAACAGGTCTTCCCGCCCACCCACTGGGATTTGCTGCTGAGGAGACTACATGTCACCATGGAGACTACCTTCCCACCCACCTGCTGGGATTTGCTGCTGTGGAGACTTGTTACCATGGAGACTACCTTCCCGCCCACCTGCTGGCTTTGCCACAGAGATGTCCTATATCACCCCCTTCCATTTTAGACTGATCCTGCTGCCTCGTTTTCTCTGTCTCTTCCTTGATCCCTGGGTTTCTTGGAAGGCTCCATCTATCTTCTCCTGCCCTAGGCTTCTGGAAGGGTCCTTTCCAGGTGGGTGTAATTGCTGTGCTCCTACACACTGCAAACCCAAACTTGGATCAGTATTCTTTGACTCCACAGTTAAAGGACTGTTCGCAGCACCTGGAATCAGCTTGTTCAGGGACATGTTGGAGGAGCACTCAGCTCACAGAGAGCCGGCTGGCAGTCCCGACAGTCTGCAGGCAGAAGCTTAATTCAAATAGAGCCAAGCAGACAGAAACCACATCTCTATCTTTCTCGGGTCTGTCTGTACCTAGCTTCTGAAAAAGAATTCGTCTTACCATCCTCGAGGGTGTTATTAATTTGCTGTGGTAAAATTCAGTATGTAAGTAGTTATTTATTCCCCCCAGAACCTTGGCACATGTCTTCCATAACCCCAGGTTACGAATGAGGAAAGGAGAGGGGATTAGAGTAAGTTTGAGCAATGATGAGTGGAAGAACTCTACTTCCTTCAGATGTAGGTGGGGAGGGGGGGTCAGAGTCTTGGAGGAGGTCCTATTCAGAAATGCAAGTGACTCCTGTGAATCTTAAAACCTATGCCGGGCTGGGGGTGGTGACAAAAACAAAAAAAAATGAAAACAAAAACAAAACAATAAAGAACCCTATGCCAGCCAACACCCAACTCAGCTGCCCAAGCCTTGAGATCTTCTAGCAAAATTTACCATGTGTCTGCCTTCTTTTCTCTCCTTTCCCTATATTTTTCTCTCTCTTTCTCTCACCTCGACAATGACTGATTTGGTGTCAATCTTTGTCAAGGCATCATTTGGTGAGATAAGCTAAAGTTGCCTGTCCTAGTTGTACACGGTTGGTACATACTTCCATGGCACTCAGAAGGCAGAGGCAGGAGAATTTTGAGTTCAAGGCCAGTCTGGACTACACAGCAAGGGAGAAAGGGGGAGGGGGAGGGAGAGAGAGAGGAAGGGAGACAGAGAGACAGAGAGATGGAGAGAGACACACACGCACACGGATCTGCCCTAAAAGCCTGAGTAGAGGGTTTAGCCATAGCTCTGTTCCCTCAAACCTCATGAGCTTCCAGATAAGGAATAGTGAAGTATGTGGCTGGGCCCATGCCATTGACCCTCACTATACAGAGAGTTCTTCTGCAAGTACTATAGCCAACAGGCTTAGAAGGTGATGGGTTAAGCATGACTGACTGACCAGGAGTGCACAGAGCCTTGCAGCCTAGGAGAGAAGCCACTCCTTGATAGCTCCCTAGGATCTTGGCCCTTCACAGAAACTATGTGAGAATAGAAACTCAAATACTCTAATCCACAAGTTGTCAAAATAAATATGAGTCAGCCTCCTTGAACTCAAGTTTATACTGCAGTATACATAAGCTTCTTGTCAACAGAAGATGGAGGAATCTGGCAGATCGTATCAAAACTAGGTATATGTGTCACTTCAGGATTGTCACTTGCCATGTTTTCAGCTTGCCTGGAAGATACCTGAGCAACGATGTGGAATTAAGTTAATTCTGGAACCCAGAATAAAACTTGGCAAGCCATTGTGTTCTCAGTCTAGCCACTACTTCTAGGTATATCCACATCCTATATCCTGCTGGATTCCTTTTGTTTTGTTGGCCCCAAGCCCAGTGGGAGTGTCTCAAAAAAATAGCTACCCCTCTGCCTTGGTGGGTCAGATCTCCGTGAATTAACTTGCCACATTCTCAAGACTCTTAGAGAAGCTACTTACACAGACTGGTTGCATTCAGTGCTCAGGCGATGCTGAAGGGAGGGAAGGCAAGTGAATGTATACAACTGGAGTCCAAAGCTGGCCACCTGCTTTGTTTTTTTAAATATCTTTGAAAAACAAAACAACATAATCTCAGCTACACAGCAAACTCCCCAAGCCTCAGGAGCAAACTCATGTTCTACATCTAGTGCCAAAAGACAAAAACATCTTGTATGTCCCCAGAAGGCAATCAGTGGCTTATTGATTACATTTGTGTTCCAGAATAGGCACTGAAGAGTATGTAAGGAGTGGATGGGAACTCCTGACCAAATCTCACTTTATAACTCTTCCTAAGTGTGGACTAATGTTATTTGTAACATTAATTGCTTAAGCTCAAAGATGAGCCTTTCTGATTATCCAAATGAGAGGAGGTTGTAAAGTCAGTGCTTTCAGCCTGAGTTTCATGGCTGAGCTTCAGTGGGAGCTAGCTGTGAAGTTCTCTTTTTAAGTATTTGTGTGATGAGTGTAGTGGTGTATGCCTATAATCCCAGTACTTGGATGCATAAACATGAAGGTCTCAAGTTTAAGGCTGCCGGGGCTACAGGGTGAGGCTTAATCTTTTGTTTGTTTGGTTGATTAGGTTTTTGTTTTGGTTTGGTTTTTTTGAGACAGGGTTTCTCTGTGTAGTCCTGGCTGTCCTGGAACTCTCTCTGTAGACCAGGCTGGCCTCCAACTCACAGAGATCTGCCTGCCTCTTAAAGGTGTGCCCCACCAACCCCAGGCAAGACTTAGTCTTTAAAAACTAAGTGTTTTAAAATACTTTAAAAATGTGTGTGTGTGTGTGTGTGTGTGTGTGTGTGTGTGTGTGTGTGTGTGTATTGTTTTGATGAAGAATCCCTAGCTGTCATTATTATCTCAGAAGCATGTGAGGCCTCCTCAAAAGATTAAGAATTTCTCATAGAGAAGCTGAAAAGTTAGAGTGACTGATGAGAGGTGACCATTAAAACATTAAAACCAGGACACCAGGCTGGGCGGTGGTGGTGCACTCCTTTAATTCTAGCACTCGGGAGTCAGAGGCAGGCAGATCTCTGGGAGTTTGAGGTCAGCCTGGCCTACAGAGCGAGTTCCAGGACAGCTAGGGCTGTTACACAGAGAAACCCTGTGTTGAAGAAACAAACAAACAAACAAACAAACAAACAAACCAGGATACCACACAGAGTGCTCTCAACCAGCTGCCTTTCCTGCAGCCCACAGCTCCTGATTGATACCACGGAGACCTAGTGAAATCTAGTGTTTCCTCTCCGTCTTGTATCCCATTGCTGCTCCCAACCTCTTTTCACTCATCAGTCATTTTATTCTTTTCCTTACTTTCCCCTCACTTTTGTTCTCCTCCCGTCTTTCTTTTCTTCCATTCCATTCTTTGTTGTTCTGATAACAGTATCTGCTCATATTCTTAGTGTTCTCTGCACATTCCCATACAGCCTGTAAAATAAACTCTTGTACTTCTAATCCTTGAAAGCAGCCTGAAGCAAGTATTTTCCCTTTAGTTAGAGGGAAGAAATAAGCAAATTGCTTTGGGCCATCAGTCACTGTGTATGTATGTCTGTTTAATCTGTGTGTGATTACATTTGGGCCTATTGTTGCTCTTTCAGAACTGAGTAGCCCCGGTGTATGAGTTTTCAGTCACCTCTGTGGTACTTTGACACTTCGATTGCCTTTCTAAACAGGATGGGAGAGCCTTGCCATGGTACTGAGGCAGCATAGGAAGATGGGGGAACAGGGAAGAACCATGGAAGCTAAAGCTCATCAGATCATGAAGAGACCAGAGAGGTGTCCCACAGGTTCCATAAGTAGGGCCCCAGGGAACCACTGAAGGAGACACAGTCCAAAACATTTTTTCAGGTACATCATTTTTCTAGAGGTTTGGTATTTTTGTTTTTGAGACAGAGTCTTACTATGTAGGCCTGGATACACTAGAACTCAATATGCAGGCCTAGCTGACTTTGAACTCACAGAGACCCACTTACCTCTGCCTTCTAACTGCTGGAAATAGAGACATGCACCACCACACCTAGCCTCATTTCTCCAGATTGACCCCAAATAGGTGGATATCCCACATAGAATTATGGCTAAGTCAAGAGGAGACTGCCATTCTGTGTGTATAACCCTGCCCAGAAGCAAAATGCAGTACCAGGGCTGCTGGGACTGGAACTGGCAAAGCAACATAGCCAAGAGCAAATTCAAAGAAGCTTCTGCCCAGCAACCAGACAAACTGCTGATTCAACATCTGGGTCCACAGACACCCCCCCCCCAGGAAACCCGGAGGACGCAATTCCCCAGGGAAGAAGATGGCTTCTTTATGCCACTATCAGAACGTGGAACCTGGATGAGCATCTAAAAGGGAGCCAAGGTCCTTTATGTTCTGTTACCTTCTCTGGGGTGTTTGATTATCTCAAGACCTTGGCCCCAGAGGAGTACTAGCAGTCATCAAAGAAGGTATAAGATAGAGGAACAGCCGAAATCACCCAAACAGCCAGAGTATGTGGTGGGTGGGATACATGGCGGTACATGGGGGGAAGCTTTGGGAAATGCATGTGTATGAGTATGAACAGGTACACATAATGGGTAGGAGTGAAGGGATGAATGTGTACATGTGTATAGATGAGGGAGCATGAATGTGACGAGGGTAGGTAGAGGTGTGTGTGTGCGCACGCGCGTAAGCGCATGCACGTGCGCGTGCAGATGCAGCTCTAGGTACAAGGATGTATGTGTATTTGAGAGGTAAGGGGATGAGCACATGTGTATGTATTAGGTATTTACTAGCAGAGTATACGTGGGAAGACTGTGTACATGTATATCCATCTAGGGATGTGGAGGGGATCCATTTGGTGTGCATGTATGAGGGGATGTATGTGCAGTGGATGGAGCACTCACCAGTGTGGAAGCAGAGGTTGCACGCACGCGCGCGCGCGCGCGTGTGTGTGTGTGTGTGTGTGTGTGTAGTTGTAAATTTATGGGGCGGGTGCTGTGGACATGTAAGAAGTGAAATGCGTGCAGGGAGAAAGCATATTGGTTTGCAGTATGTAGAGTAGGAGAGAGATAGATGTATGCATATGTGAAGTACATCATGTGTGAAAGGGAGTGCACAAGTCGGGCATGTAGGACGATGCGGGGGTGTGTGTGCATGTGTGGGGCTAGTGGAAGGCATATTTATGTATATGTAAGGTATGAGGAATTTGGGTATGGATGCAGAGTCTAGGTATTTGTACAAGGTGCCAATATAGGGGCTGCTGAAATTGTGACTCTGGGATTATGTGGTATGCACAGTGTATAATATATATATATATATCATATATTATATTATATATATTATACACTGTATAATATATATATATATATATATATATGGTGAGAGAAATCTGTGTAGGGTGTGCATATGGAGCATATAGTGTGTGGGTATGTGGATATGTGTGTGAGTGAGACTGTGTGTCTCGCTCTGTGAGGGTGAGTGTAGGAGTGGACTGGAGCTGTGTGCGCATGTACCTCAGGGAATGAGAAGTATTTGTATGCGTGGGAGTGGGTGGATGGACATGATGTGTGAGTGTATAAGGGTGTGTGCTTACAGGGTGGATGAGAAGGAATCTGTGTATAAATAGGTACTTAGGACTGTGGGTCTGGGTGGGTAGTGTTGAAGATGATAAGACTCAAGGAAAAAACAAACAAACAAACAAAAGACTCAAGGAAATTAACAGGGACTACAAAACCCACCCAAGAAAAGGTATTGTAACAGAGGCCTGGCTTGAGACTTGGTGTGAAGTTTGAGCTATACATGGTGGCCCATGCCCATAATCTCAGCACTTGGGATGTGGAAGCAGGAAGACCAGGAGTTCAAAACCAGCCTAGACTACCCTGTCTAACCCCGCCTTTAAAAAAGTATAAAATTTGAAATGAATTTCCACTGGCACCTAAATATTCAGAAAAAGGGCCTGGGGATGAGAAAAACCCCTGGTATTTGGTTAAGGGTGGCAGAATAACAACATGACTCTGGTCATTAACACCAGCTAGAGAACTAAGACTGCCTGAATTGACTTCCCCAGGTTGATTCCCCCTCCCTTCAAAGCCAGCCTTCCTTCTAGACACCTGGCAGAGAACCATACCTAGCACCCCGACCCGATAGTTGAGGGTGATGACGATGACGTTGCCATAACTTGCAAGAACGCTGCCATCAATCATGTTGCCTGTGCCTTCCATGTAAGAACCTCCGTGGATGTAGACCATGACAGGCTTAGCACCACTGTCCCGGATGTCTGTAAGGAGAAGGGGTAAGACACAGGCTAGGTAGGATGCCCTTGCTCCCCTACCCCCGCCAGCCCTGGGGGGGGAGGTGCGGGCAGCAAAGCTATTCCAGGTGCCAGGACACCACTGCCATCCCTGAGGGCAGGACTCATGGGGCTGCTAGGCCCAGAGTTCAAGTATTGGCCAGAGAGAGCTGAACTTGTATAGTGTTTTTTTTTTTTTAAAGCACCTCCCAACTGAAGATGACCATGTGGGTATAGTTCATCTGGGCCTGGGTGGCCACGGCTGGCTTCTGAGATAACAAGGAGTAACAAGGGCTTGGTGGTCCCTCAGCAGCATCAGGTGAGTTCCTGCCCTGCATACCCAGGAGTCCTGGGACCTGACATGGCTTTAGAAAGCAGGAGCTGGGGAGCCCTGAAACCCCCAGGACTAGACCAGTTACATGGAAAAACGGCCATTGGCAGCAGCTGGATCCCCCCAGTGCAGACAGAGACAAGAAGGGTGGGGATAAGGGGTGGCACAGGGAGAGAACAGGAAGGTGGGGAAAGGGCGAGTGAATGGTAGAGATGGGGTGGGGGAACCTTATAGACATGGTTTCTTAACCACATGCCCATATCCCCCATCCTTCCTGGGCAAACTTAGCTGTAAACACTGGGGTGGAGCAGAACTTGGCATGAGAAAGCCTCTCAGCCAGAATTATGATGTAAAAGTCTCCACCCAGGCCAGTGCCCGAGGGCTCATCAAGGGGTGCTCCTGAGCCCAGTCAGCATGGTGTTGGGCTGGAGCAATCAAGGGAAGGCTCCAGGCCCGACCTTGACTTGCCTGTCACCCATCAGTTTGTGAGCTGGCACACCGGCACAGCCCTGCTGGTCACCAGTGGATCCCCTGAACTGCCTGGCCCCTCCAGGGCCTCCAAAGGGGCGGGCCCAGAGCATGGGTGGAGTAGAGAATGCTCTCTGCTGCAGCACAAACAATCTTGTCACCCCAAGGAGGAAGGCTCGTCCCATCACCACCCGAGAATCTTAGTTCACCTACTGATGGCTGTGGTGTCTGGGCCTCAGTCTGTCATGTTAGGCCACAGTTTTTCTGTTCTGTCCCCAACCTACTGCAACCTCTGGCCCTGTGGCCATCTTACTTTTCGGGGAGAAAGCTGGGGAAGTGGTAGTCTTGAATTTCCCTGTCCTGCCCCTTTGTGTGCTCTAGCAGAGCCACTCTCCCAAGAGCTAGGCCCCTCAGGAGAGCAGAGGTCTCCTTAGTGAATTCCAGGCATCCTCTCACCATCCAAGTTTTTAAAATTTGTGCCTATTCCCACCCTCCCTGGCCCTGCTTGCTCTTCACCATTTCCGCTGCCACATATGGGCAGGTGCCCGTGAGTCATAGAAGATGGGAGAGGGTCAGGGGCCAGGGCCAGGAAGACACCCTCCCTATGGCTCAATTTATGGTCATTCCCCTGCTCCTGCCAGCCGTGTCCATTACCCCAGAAGTCCCAGTGGCCAATGAGGCCAAAGACGGAGGAACAGCCCAGCGGCCTTGTACAGGAACAGAAACACACCAACGGACGGACAGACAGACAGACGGGGCTTCTCCCCATTGAGAAGGGGAGGGGCTCTGTGCCATGCACCAGCCGCCGCGCCCTGCAGCCCCCAAATACCTTCATCTTCATCCCCGTCATTATCCGCTAAGTCCTCGCCCTGTTTCTTAGCGCCGGATCCTGGGGACCAGACACGGGGAGACACAACAGCACAGAACAGAGAACAAAACAGAGAGAGAATTCAAAAACAGCATGACTGCAGTGTGGCCCAGCAAGCCAGCTCTGGGCCTGGGCCCAGGACAGGCAGGAGGGATGGCAAGAACTGAGGGAATGGGTGGGCTGAGGCCCAGACCTTCATCAGGATGATGGTGTTGCAGGCCTCTGCTGTGCTGACCTCCCTGCACCTCCCTGCCCCGCCTCCCTGTCCCCAATCAAGGTCATTCAGTTAGGAAGGAGGTAGCAGCAGGTGGGCTGGGGCACAGAGCCAGAGGCCCACTTGTGAAAACTTCATTCTGGATGGAAGGGCTGCATGTTTAGACACAGGCAGGCTGAGCTGGAGGGCAGGGATAGGTATTGAAGGTGAGGAGTGACATTGCCAGCATCTGCGGATAGCTTGGTGATATACTTGGGGCAGAGGTGATTACCAGGGACCCCAGGTCTGAGCTCCCAAGTCCCAGTGGGCAGATTCGAGCCGGGCTTCAGCTGACCCTGATTCCCACAGGAGAAGATGGGAAATGAAATTTTGCCTCTGGCCTTGTTCACTGCCCCCCCCCCCCCCCCCCCCCACCAGTTTTAAGAGCAGCAAGTGTTGCTCTAGGAGAGAGCCAGAGTGGGAGGGAAGGAGGGAAGGAAAAAGGAATGGAGGGAGGGAGAGAGAGAGAGAAAGAGAGAGAAATGGTTCCTACTATAAACTGAGTACTTAACATCTAACACATGCCACACGTTCTACTTCTGCTGTACTGTTTGATCCTTACATTCCAATGAGGTAGGCACCATCTTTATTCCTCTTTCACTGATGGGGAAACTGAGGTTCAGAGAGGTAAAGTGACTTGCTCAAGATCACACAGCTAGGAAGTGCTAGAAGTGTGAATCAAACCCAGGTCTGCTTGACTCCAAAGCCCTTATGGTCTTTCCACTGCATCATGCCACCTTTCAGGGGTGAGGAAAAGGGAAGGAAGAAATAGACAAGAGGTGGAGCATGAACGGAGAAGGTAGAAAAGGGACTAGAGGAGGAAGGAAGGTATTTAGGCCCTGAGGGGTAGGCTGGCACCACTCCTCTTTCCTGGTATGAAGAGACTAGAAAGATATCTTGGAATGGCTGTGAAAAGCCACGATCTACTGCCTGGTTGCTGGTCAGTGCCAAAATGGAAGTAACTCTGCTGGTGCCCCGCACCTTACCCTCTTGCTTCCATGCTCACAGATACCTTGAACCTGGTGCAAGCAAATGGCCCTCTTTCTCTGTTGGTCTGCACTCTGGTGACTGAATATCCTCTTAGTTATGGATCAAAATAGGAACTACCCTCAAACTCCAAGCCGCCTTTTCAACTTGGGCAAAAGCCCAGCTCTTGTAGAAATAGCCTTTGGCTTCCTGAACTTCCAGTGGCACCTACTGTCTTAACACGTTAGCTTAACACCTACCAGTCTTGCCCTCAGAATCTCAATGAGACATGGCCACACAGTGGATCAGCCACCAAACAGAATCACTCATTCATTCCTAAACATAAATTCTTTTCAACTCCATGGAGGTAGGGCTGGGGCAAATCCTTCCCAGGACACCCTTCACTTCTGGTGTCTGCTTCTATGAAGCTCTAAGGGTACTTGGCTTGCTACATCACCCCAGCCTTGCCCCAGCATCCCCTGTACATCCTCCTTCAGTATGTCCTTGATGGACAATTCCTTGCTGCAATGGGCTTTACCAGGCACCACCCACAGAAATGATGCCATGTAGGATCCCACATAAGCCACCCCAGCTGCCATGTACATTACACACACACACACACACACACACACACACACACACACACACAAATCATGTGCCCAGGATAGGGAACTAATTTGAACAGTTAAACAAATGATCTCCCCTATCCTATCTAAAGCCCACTTCCCAGAAGTGCCTACTGACTTAAGGAATCCAGCAGCGTTTTAATACCAGCCTAGGAGCTCTTTCAGAACAATGATTAGACTCCGTTCATATCCCAACAGCACCTTGCCTATCATCCACAATTACAATTGGCAAAATATTCACACTGCATGGTGGCTTCCAGTCAGCAATCTGGCCAAAATCTCAGCATGAGCTTGGCCTGCCCTAGGCTCTTACTGGAGCCCTGAAAGATCTTTTTTCCTAAGCAGTGGCTAATCGTAATGCCTTCTCTCCTCACCCCACTGTATCCCACTAAGTAATAACTCATGAGAGCAGCTTTGAAACCATTTCTCTGAATACAGGTATTGGTTAATGGAGGGTTATAGCCAGGATGTTCTTTCTGCCTTCCCATGTGGAAATGGAGGCTTTGAACCGGGGCCAAATAAAGAGGTCATGGCCAGCCTAAGCTGCAGAGCAAGACCCCGGCTCCAAAAAACAAAACAAAACACGGCAAAGCAAGGAAAACTGAAAGGGAATAAAGAGAATGGCTTATGAGTTGGCAGCAGAGGCCAGGAGTCAGTCAGGGGTTGTGCTTCCTAGACAAGTGCTCTTCTTGCTCAGGCGGTACTACAGAAATCCTTCATTTGCATGAGAGGCTTGCATGCTTCCTACTGCGTGGGAGGGCCTGGGCTGGATGTGAAGAGAGGTAAAACACTGTTCTTAAGGGCAGCAAGTCTGACTCCTTGCTCTAGTGTGCATCAAAAGCCCTCCATATCTGAGCTTTTGAATGTGCTGATTCTGCGCCTGTCCTTAGAGATTCTCATTCAGTAGGGATCGTTCCAGCCCAGGAATCCTGATGACACCCGAGAAACCCTGCCCTAGAGCATCAAAGGAAAACAAAAGCCAAGCTTGCCAAAGACTTGTAAGGGTTGTGGTTGTCCTTGTTCCTTAGGCTGTTACCAGAGCCGATTCGCCCAACCTAGCCACATCTGATCTATGTTTCAGGGAGGTGGGATTAGCCAGGTGGTAGTTGCCTCCATGGGGCTACAGTGGAAAGAACATTCCCTGAGGGTCAAGAGCCCTAGGTTTTGGCCCCACATCTGCTCTAGACTGGCAACAGGGCCTTGTGCAGCAAGTCACTCCCCTGGGCTCGGTTCCTCATCTGTAAAATCGGAATACTGCTTCCTGCCTTGCTTGCTTCCCTAGTTAAGGTAAATATGAGAACCCTTGTAGAAAACATTAACTGGCGTGCAAACAGGAAACATTACTATATGAAAAAACAAAGTCCTTTTAGCAGGAGGGTGAATTTAAAATTGGCTTTCTTTAGAGTCTGCAGTTTCTAGAGATTTCCAATTTCTGCCACAGGAATAGCCTGGGTCTTTTCAGAGGTGGTGAGGCAGGGGCAGGGCGTGCTGCAGAAGAGCAAATCAATCTGTGTGCCCGAGTTTCTCTTAAGCTGCAGTTGGGGAGAGTTAAGTTTAGACCTTCAACCCAGGACTGACTACTGGAGGGATGCTCCTTGTATCTGCACTGGCTGCAGGGGAAGGAGGAGCTTCTGGCTCCATCTTGACTGCCTGCTTTCTTCTGAGGTGTTACCAAAAGAGCCACTGGCTCTATGTTTGGTACACTCCTTAGGGAAGCTGGGAAGATTGAAAGCAGTGGACTTTCTGCTTCTGCTCTGAACCTGCCTTAGGCCACTGGATCCTCTCTGCAAAGCAGCCAGGGCCCTTGGAGGAGGTGGGACCCTAAGCCTGGGACCTTAAGTCTGCTCACAGCCCTCTCAACCTGGCCTACTTGAAGGAAGGCTGGGTCCTTAGGGGCAGGGGCAGTGGGCAGGCAGCCCTCCCTCTCTCTCTCTCTCCCTCCCCGCCGGCTCGCTACCTACCTCCTTTCCTACAAATTTTCTTGTTGGGCTTTCGGGCGCATTCCTTGGAAATCCGCTTTACTGTAAAATGAATAAAAAACTAAAAAATAACAGGAGGCCTCTGCCCAGGGGCATGCATCCCCCCCACCCAGGCCCCAAGAGCTGAGCTGCTCTGCAGCGGCACATGGCAGAGAGCCTGTCCCACCATCTCCTTGTTTCTGTCACTTACCTTAATGTGACCCCCGCGGGAGGAGGCATCAGCTAGTGGAAGAGGAGGCACCTAAGCATCGCCAACCAGGCTTGCCCCCCCACCCCCCACACACACCCAGCTCCCTCAGCCACACACACCTACCACCTTTCGAAGCAGGTGGAATGGCAACAGGGGGGCCTGGTGGAGCCAGCATCCTCCCGCGGGCAGCTGCCAGCAGTCACCCATACTCCCCCAGGGTACCCCCATCCAGTACTGGACCTAGACCTGTCAAAGCTCTCAGGCCTGGCCAGCCCCCTTCTGGCATCAGTGTCACTCACACATGGGAGCTCGGACAATGCTGGGAGAGGGAAGAACAGGGAGGGGAAAGGCCAAGCGGAGTGATGGTTAGAAGCATTTTCACAGACAGACAGACGCATGCTGCAGGGCACACAACCACATGCAAGCCACAAACACAACAGGGCAGGCGGGAGGCAAGGAGGGCACAATGCCTGGCCGCAGCACTCACCATCTTCCGTGGGCACATAGACATTCAAGTAGAGGCAGTCTTCATTGGGCTCCTGGATGTAAGTAGCGACGATATCCAAGTTGGCAGTGAACCAGACTGGCAGCATAACTTCGGGCACAGCTGTGTGGATGTTCTGGGGGCACACTGGGGGAAAGTGTGTGGCGTTCCGGATGCCCGACCAGGATGGGGGTGGTTCAGGGGGCAGGAAACGTTTCTCGCCGACTGGGGGAGCTGCGTAGGGTACCCCCAGGTACTGGTCCACAGGACCCAGAATCTCACTGGGCAATGGTACTCTGGCACCCCTTAGCTTCCCAAAGTGAGTATTGACTGTGGGTGCTGGGGCCTGGGTGCTGGCCCTCAGCACCAAACTGAGGAACCACAGCGTGAGGCACAGACTCCGGCCAACTGTGGGCGTGGGGCTCGGGGACAGCAAGGGCAGGCCAAGCTGCAGCCACATGTTCCGGGCAGGGGTACTGGCAGGAGAGGCAGACTCCGGGGGTCACAGCATCAGCCCAATAGGCAGCCCCTTCATGGCCACACTGACTTGAACCTCAAAACTGAGCTCTCGAGGGACACCTACAGGTGCCCAGCAATGCAGAGAGCCGGTCGTCCAAGCACCACCACTTCGAAAGAGGGCTCCCTTAGGGCCAGACAGGCCTGTGGAAAGAGGGAAGCATGTGTCATCCAAAATAGTCTGGAAGGGCTGGAGAGTCCGTCTTTGGGACCCTGGTGAGCTTGGCCTATTTTCCCAGTTAGAGGTTTCACATGCCCAGGGTTCCAGGGACTTACAGGTGATCTATTGCTTTTCAGAACTATTTTATGTGCCTGGCCACGGTTGGAAAAAAATCTAAGGGGATGAACAGAGTGACAGTTGTTGCCATTGCAAATTCACGGTCCCCAACTCCAACTCTATCATTGGTGGAGTTCACCAGGGTCTTCTGGAGCCAACATGCAGTGATAGGGAAATCTGGAAGTAGAGCTTCCAGTATGGCTGCCAACTTCATTCTGGGACTTGAAGGTATAAGAAAAGAAAAGCAGCAGACAGGCAGAGGGTCCCACAGAGAGATGCCTTTTACCCTCAGGCAGGGCAAGGAGCACAACACCCATTCACCTAAGTCCAAAGACCTTTCCATGCCCCTCCTTGACATTTCTCCCCAGCCTTCACTGCTGCCAAGTCCTTAAACCTTTGTCATTGCTGCTGCCTAGCTCTTCATTCACGCCAAATGCCAGAACCAAAGGCAAAATTTGGTCTGCTGAGCACGCTAGGCATTGTGGATGCTAGTCCAGTGTAAAATAAACAACAGGGTGTAGGGGCATACACTTGGAACTCATGAAATAAACTCACAAAGACTCAAAGAGGGAGTGAGAGACCAAGCCAGGATCACAGACACTGCAATATTCACTGGTAGAGACATACATTCCAAACCCACAGAGATCCCCTCATTTAGTCCCACATTCCAAAACAGACCGCCTCACACAGCCAGAGCCTCACAGTGATACATTCAGACACACACAGAGAACTACTGAAACAAAATCACACATACCCGCATAGGTAAATATCCAGACACAAGCGGCATAATGGTGACACATAGGTGGAGACAGAAACAGAAATAGCAACTCACTCAGACACACAGGCCTTCTGACACAGTTACAGTCAACACATACACAGGCACACAGACATGTGTGTCCCGCATGGACACATGCACACAATGAGCACGCACGCACTTGTGTACCCAGGCGCGCGTGCATGTGAGCATGTGTGCGCCGCGCGCGCGCGTGCACACACACACACACACACACACACACACACACAC